TAACTGCTACTTAGTCAAATAGCTAACAATAAGTAAAATTGTTTGTTTACTCAACAAAAAAAAAAAAATACCCGTTTAGTAAGCGGCACTTCAACTGGTACTGGAATGATTCCAGCAAGAATACACCCGTAGAAAGCAACCAAAAATGAAAGAGGTTCCGTATTCGGATAAACCTGATAAAAAAGAAAATCATAAATTTAATCAAATTTTAAGACTAAAATAAACTGTGACATATTCAGTTATGTGTTAAATTGTCGCAGTCATCATACCGCATATATTTGTAGAAAAAAGCAAAATTTCAATGTTTCGAAAATTGAAATGCATTGTAAAATTATTCCACTTAACAATATGTTTTATGAATTTATTCATAAACTCATTTAGAAATACATATAAATTTCAAATTTAAAACAAATCAGTACAATATCAATGACTATTAATTAAAAACACTTACCAAAGCTACTCGATCACCACTTTTACATAATTGAACCTTTTCCTTGCCAACTACGCCAGGAATAAGCTTGGTTAACAACATATGAGCAACTTTTGTAGCACGATTTAGAAGTTTACCTAAAAGTTGAAAAAAAAAAACTCATTAAAGACAATCTCACAAAATAAATAATAATTATTGAAACATAACGATAACACAAATGTAAGATAAATAATATTACACATTAGTGTCACTTTCATTTTATTTTCTTTTTTGAGATATCCCAAATACTTCTTTTATACTAAAGTAATTGCACCAGTAAACACATACCATAAGTAAGTGAGTACGCCGGTCGAGCAGAATGATCCAGTACAACAGCAGCTACCATTCTTGGTTGTGATGTACCATACTTATGCAATGCGGAATCAATAGAACGTGGTAAACTTGTAGATACGGACGCATGATCACCACGTGCTGGACAGATTATAGAACCTTCCGGACGTGGTGCTAACGGATCAACAACCCTAGCTAATGCTGTAATTTCATTCGTAATTCAGGATGTAAATTTTCAGAAAAATCCTTTCTATAAAAAAAAAAATTAAAGGAACGTATTTTGAAATTTCTGGTAATTAAATTTTCTAACATAATTTCATTTCCTCACGTTAATTAAAATAATTGAAAATGAAATTTTTTATTTTTTTAGAAAGAATAACCTTCTAATTCCGCATCATCATCATTGTAGTATTCATGCAAAGGTTTTTTCTTTGGTCTCTGTAAACCCATTAATCGGCATTCATGTATTATATGCAATTGATAGAAATAATTGCAACATTTTAGATCAGATACTTTGATGAATTTTCGACCCAAACCCAAATCCGAAATTCTTATAAATGTATTTAACTTCTGTTCCACAAAATTACGCTCATCTTTGAAACGTTTCAATGATAACTTTTTATAAGCATGTAATGGATTAAATTTTTTGACAGCAATTGAAAATCCTTGTGTTAATAAAGTTCGTTCAAATGATGTATTTCGAGGACGATGCTTTTTCAATGAACGTCGTAATGATTCCAATACAGCTTCAAATGTTTCATTTAAAGATTCTGCTGATGTTAAATTAGTAGTAGCATCACTAGATAATCGACATGTAGCAGTATTATTCATTGATAGATGATAAGATTTTGAGAATAATGAATTGGTAGTAGCATTTTGAACAATAAATAATCCAGGTTTTGTTTCAGTAGCAACATCAATTTTACTCCCATCATTCAGACAACTACTTATTGATTCATTGATAGCATGATGATGATTATGATTATAATTACGATAATCACTTGACACCTTATTACAATTATTCGTCATCATATCTCTTTCAGAGAAATGTTGCAATATCATTATAGGAAGCATTACTGTTGCAATGGAATTTTGTAGCAATATATTAACAGTGTTAAATTTAATAATATCATTTTCATTTAATAACGATGAAAATTTTCTCTTCCAAATATTACATATGCCAAATCGTTTCGATCTTTTACTAATATCATGTGACTCCAATTTATGACGAAGATTTGTTCGAATATTACTAGCTTCATGTGCTTTTTTCGAAATTTTAGCTACAAATTTCGATGTGATATTACGTGATGATGATAGCTGATACGTGAAGTGTAACGGATGATTGGACTGCGTATGAAGTAATGATGATTGTTGTGGATGAAAAATATTCATCAGTAGTAAAGACATACTGATTAATAGTAATAAAATAATAAATTAAATTTGAGAAAAAATTGAGGAGAGCGTTGTTAGAAATGAAAAGATATCAGATAGGATTGTATCATGTGAAACATTTTATGTCATCTAATTTCAAAATCAATAATTTAAGATGAATTGATGATTGAAGCTAATGCAAAATGACTAGCTTTTTTGAAATGCATTAAGATAAATTTACACGGTGTAACAACAATTCAAATGTTTTAAGATTGAGTAAAGACAAAAAAAAGGGAAAAGAAAAAGAAAAATAACTGATGAGAAAAGTATTAGTCATATAATAATAAAAAGAAAAATGGCATAAATTAAGAATTTAAATGTATTTAAAGATTTAGAGCTAATTAAAAAAAAAAAGTTACAGATTGATATAATTATTTTTCCACTTTCACATCATCTTGCACTTCCTTTTTTCTTCTTCCAAAAGCAAAAAAAAAAAAACTTTCTTTTAAAAAATCTTTTTTTCCTTTTTTTCTTATATATATGTATGCGTATGTTTGAAAATAAGAGATGAAAATCACAAAATAATTAATGATTATTTACAATGTTGAAGTGATTAAACTAATTCACATCATAGTACATTTAAATTACAATGTATTTATTTTCAAAGATTTCAATAGAGATGTATTCCATAGATTAAAATACAATATGTCATCTTCATGTTAATTAATAAAATCAAAAAGAAAAAAAAAATTGAGCAAAGAAAAAATAAGTGTGACAAATAAAAATATAATTTTAAGAAAAAAGAAAGGCAAAACAAAGTAGGAAAAAAGAAAACGTAAAAATAAAAACCAAAACAAAACAAAAAATAAAAAAGAAGAAAATGAAAATCAAGTGTAAATTGTAATTCTTCATTCTTTGCTCTAAATAATTTAGCTAACAAATATAACAATAACAAAATTATTGATCGTATTTTTTCTATAATTTATTTATTACAAATAGCATTTATCAATTTATTTTAGTAACACATAAAAATTGATATTATTTGTTACACTAATTTTGTAATGATATTTGATTTATAAAATATAAAATAAAATTATTTCTCAATTTTATGACAAAATAGCAAAGCTTACAACATTTTTGAGTAATAAAAAAGTTGAAAATTCTAATAAATTTTAATGAGTGAATGAATAAATGAATAAATATGTATGTAACAAATAAAATAAATAAATATATACATATATAGATTAATTGATAAATAGATTTAATGAAGCAGATTTAGTGGATAAACAGCAAATTGATAAATGTATTATATGATATTTGTGATATCCTTTCAAGAATTTATTAAAATGATAAGATATAAAATTTTATTCTTTTCAAATTAAAAAAAAAAAAAATTAAGATCGTGAGAAAATAAAACAAACCATCACGGTATATAATCACATATGATAAGAGATGATGGATGGATGAGAACTTTTGGTTATCAGAGCTATGATTTGCTTTCAAAATATGTTATAATGAATAGACTGGAAAGAATTCGGATACACATATTTACCAATTTTTCCTTGGTATTATAAATCGAATAAATTTAAATAATAAAAATCAGTACATTAGTATGTGAAAAAGGATAACAAAATGTAACATATATGATTAATTTTAAATTATGCTGTTATCAGTAATTGTACATCAATTGAAATCTTAGGAAAAAACAGTCCACAAGATTATTAATTTCTCGGTCGCAACAGTTAATGAAGGCATTTTATAAAAATTAAGAAGAATATAGGAGCTGTGCTAAAATAAAAATATAGCAATCAATTTAAGGGTAATGAAATTTTGGGAAAACCATAAGAATGAATGAAAATCATGGAAAAGATGAAGAAATCATAGAAATAAACGTTGACTGATAATAAATCGCTAAGAAATGATAAATAAAAAGTTTTAATAAAAAATTTCCATTCTAATAAAAATGCTTTAGATTATTTAGATATAATAATAGATGAAATTATTGAAAACCATATTTATGGTCGTAGATCAGTCATTAATCATTAAACCATAGTATGTTTGATTGTAAAGAAATAAAATGATGTGCTGTGAAAATTTTCCTAATGATAAATTATTCCTAAATATTACACTGTAATATTAATATGAGAAAAAGAAAACTTAGAACAATTTCATTTCATTAGTAATACTAAAATTTGCAGCGTAAAATTAAAGCTCTTCTTCATTAAAAGTTTCTAACACAAAAATTTTACAAATTCTAAGCATTTTATATGTCCGAAAAAAGTATATTAGGTGAAGAATTCTACTTTATGTAAATAGGAAATATACCTTTGCAATAATTTACTTACTAAGTTGAAATAAGTAAGGAAAAACAACAGATAAATGTTCAGCCATGTTTTATAATCTTATTCTATTTGGCGTTAAATTTGGTTGATAATAACTAAGTTTTTAAACTTCAAAACCAATAAGTATAATGCTGGTTCTTCTCCTAAATGTTAACTTGCTATAAATAAGAAAATAAAGCTTTTTAAGAGTATTAAATAAGTAATTTTCTGCTAAAAAATATGAAATGTAATATCAAAGCAATGATCGATAAAATTGATAAACACAATTTAGTATTCCAATCAAATTTGATGCATTACAAATGATTTTTAGAAAAAAGTTAATCAAATTTGATAATTCAACAAAGCGCAACAAAACTGACTAAAATGATTGAGCAAATAAGTTGAGAAACAGAAGTTTACAAATAAAATTTGTAACGATTATTCATCCCTTTCCCATCCTATTTTTCTCCTTTATTTCTTTTTTCTATTCATAAGTTAAAGTATATGAAATTATTAATTAAACAAGAAAAATGAAATGAAAACACAAACTAACTTACTTGCAATGAATGCACTAATTGTTGAATTTTCAACGAAACTCTGACCGGTTTCAGTGCTGACAACGAGGAAACTAAATTGAAAAGAAATTATTCGAATTAAAGAAAGCATATAACATAACATAAAAACTATTAGTTAAATCAGTGCATTACAGAAAAACAGTGATAATAAAACTGCATAGCAATTATATAGCATCAGCTTATATATGAATTTAAAAGATTTGATTGATTTCAAAAAGTTACAAAGTTTTAAATCATTTGTCAGTCAAAAAGCAAAATGAATATAATTCTATGCTTGCTAAAATGCTATCAACGTTAGAAGTAGTAAATGAACCATCTTATAAGAGATGTTAAATTAACTTACGCACAACTGCGTTTTGATAATCTTGGTTAGTTATATTTGTTATAGCTATATCATTTCCTGCAACGTCATTTGCATAAATGATATCAGTCTTCAATACGGTTTCATCAGCATCTGCCACTTTCTTCATAGCATTCCGCTCATTTTCACTTATAATATTCCTATCCTGAAAATTATCACCTAAAAACAAAGAACACTTTTGCATCAATAATTTACTTGAAGTTAATATATAGATAATTATGGCAAACTATTTGAAGTGTGCTATACTCTCTAGTTATCCTATACTCTCTCAAAATATTGAAGAAAGAAAACAAATATATAAATATGATAAAATTGTTTAAATCTACAATGAATTACATGGATGGAAATTTACTAGAAGTAATAGAAACAAAAATTATATTATGCAATAGTAGGGCAGTCTTATTTCAGACATTTCAGAGACAATAAAAATAACTGAAAAAAAAAAAAAAAAATCAAACTAGTAATGCACTATTTGACGCATAAATATTACTTGTTTTCTCCGATCCTGAAATACCTTTCGTATTACAGCATCGTTTGCCAAAGCAGTTGCTGTAATATCAGGAGGTGGAGATGAAGCATCTAAAATTCGGAATTCAAAAAATTGATCCCTTACTTGAAAAATATAAGCCAAAATTTTCATCACTGTTATTACTCTCAAAATTTGACAATATTTGACAATGGTGTCATCAAATTAATTATGGTTTAGAAAAAATCTTTAAAATTTAACTTACTCCTCCAGTTATTTATAAATATAAATAATGGGAAGAAAAAAAATTGATATCAAAAGCTCTACCTGGCTTTTGTGAGCCATTAGCTAAATTTTTCTTTCGTTGTTCATTTAATGATAACGTTGATGATGTACCTTTGCTACGATCAGTACTACCAAACATGCTATCATCTTCGGAACTGCTATCTGTACAACAATTTTGTGAAAGCAAATCCGATTTCAATTTCATCTTTTCTTTTCCTTTTTTTTTTTTTTTTTTAATAAAACTAGAATTTCGAAAATTATTACGAACTCTTGAATAATCGCAAATTTCAACTACATATGATTTTAGACTCAAAAATCATTGTATATCAGGTAAAAGATTTAAGGAGTTAAATTGTCAATCGAAAACTTTTTTCTTTGTAAATTTTCATAGTAATAATTACAGTTTATATTCAGTAAACTATCAAAAATATTTGTAGAATTACCAGATGCTCGATGCCTTTCTCGTTTTATCTCAGTACCACGTCGTTTTAAGGGTGGTAAAATATTCGGCTTTTCTTTTTTCCCTGCAAATATTGATTCGTTAGTTATAAAATTTTGAAACAAAAGCATTCTTTGCTAATTCAATATTCTCGCTCATCTTTTCCTCTTCCAACTTTGAACAGATGTTTCATCTATATTTCGCTATTAATACTATTAGTAGCAAATAAAACATCAATGAGATAAAGCAACACCCATTAATTCCTTACGATCTTTTTTCCTCACTCTATATTTCACTAATTTACTTCATAGCTTTATTTTTTATCGAAAATTTTTTAAAAAAAGGCAATGAAAACAAAACCTTCCGAATATTCTGCTAATGCCTGTTGCACTGCTTCAGCATGTATTTCTAAAATTTTTTAAGTATTTATAATTTGCTAATCAATTAATAAAGGAAAAAAAAAATGATGCAAATATCCAAAGATATAATAAAATGATTAAAAAAAATTGTAATATTGTCTGGAAAGCTATTCACTAAAGTCATTCTTTTAATATGACGTGAATGCAAGTTAGATATAATCTTATACAAGCATTCATAAAATAAATTCCACGCTGCTAATTAAGAAAGAAAACCATCAACTCAATTTACTAGATTGACCAATAAATAATCTGTCGAACTAGCTGGCCAAAACAACTTTATAGCGATCGTAAATGAGGTCAAAAGAAATGGATGAGCAAGAGAAGACCAAATACTGCTTGGAATTAGGTATTATTTGAGGTTGTAACTGATGAGTCAGTCCTGCATCTTAGGCATGATACAGGCTGATAGATCAAGCAGATGAATCTAATATTAATAAGATCGAAAGGTTTCCACGTAATGAGTTTTATCTTCCTCTCCAAAAACTAAAGAGTTATTTGTAAATAATGTTATTGAATGTGTGAAGTTAGTGGAATAAGTTTAATGGAATAAATATAATGCAAAAATTCGTCAACTGTTTTGTATATATATTCAAGGAATACCAGAATGAAAACGTGATTCATCACGCGTAAGACGTCGCTGGTGTTTCCTTTGTGCTTTTGTACTTGGACTTGAAGCAACTTTATTACCTGCAAACACAGGAAATTAATGCTTAGTATAACTTTGAACTTATTTACATGTTCTGTTTCATAAATATCACATATTCAGCATATTCATAACAATGTTAACTGTTGCAGAAATAAATTTTTTACTGAAAAAACCAAACTGATATTCGTTCATTTTTTTCTTAAAAATTTTTTTTGTAGCTTAAAAAAAGAAAAACAACAACAACAATCATACCATCTTTTTTAATTCGTAAGTAGGGTCCTAATAACAACTGTTTTTTCTTATCATATCCTTTTTGCGTGATGTCACCTGAAATGAACAAATAATTATTAAACATTTTGAAAAAACATTATCAATAATCCAATTATCAAAGCATTTATCAAACAAACAGATTTAACCACTGCTAATATATGCTATATATACATATACGATCACGCATGCATCATTTTGTGGAGTGTTTACGTGAAATAAATCGAACAATTTTATTGATTTCAAGTAAAAGAAAAGAAAAACGTAAACTTTATCAATGAAGATAACAATATGATTAAATTTCAAATATCTTCACCTTCTGATAACTCTAAATCAAGCTGGGCGAGGCGTTCACGTACGTCAGATGGTAGACTTGATATATCAATAGCATCCACCATTACGAAAACTTGACGGTCCTAAAGATACCGTCGTCCGCCGCCTGCAATATATGAAGAATCTTTATTTGAAGAAATGAAGCAAAAAAAAGCAGCAAAAACGATTGATACCGAATATTAAACTGAAATAAAATTTCAACATTTACAAACGCAAAAATTATCGTAAGATATAATTTTCAAACAAAAATAAAAACTTCAGTGTATCAAATTTTTTGACAATTTTGAAAATTTGATTTTTCCTAAATTATGTTAGATGAAAACAATATTAAAATCGATAAAAATAAAAAATGAGAAAAGAAAAGATTGAAAGAGTTTTCTCCAACGATAATAGTTTTAAATGTTGCAAATTATCATGATAATATAAATAAACATCCAAATATTTACTGATATTTTAATTGTGAATAAATATGTCATAAGAAAATAGGTCGTATGGTTCATTACAATTGTGGGAACATCTAATGTGATTTGAAGCAGAATGAAAAGAAAAGAAAAAGAAAGCAACCTAAAATTCAAATCATTTTTTTCCAAACTGCATCAATCTAATACCAATAAACTAACTCTCTAAATTTAATTTTAACATTTCTATAAGATAAATCTTTGTTATTCACTTCTGTTGATTTATTTGTTTCTGAAACCAAAAAGAAAGAAAAAGAAAGAAAGGAAGAAAATATTCTAAAAATACGAAAAAATATTTTATTTCATCCATAATATTGATAATTTAGTTTCAGATAATTTTGCATCTTTATGGATTATTTCATTTCGATGTTCGACAGGTAAATGAATTATTGCAATTTACTAAAACTCATATCTAGGATAATAATGGGTAATAGAACTATAGAAGTCTATTATTCATCATCAAATATTTCTCAGTATGAAAAAACTGATAATTGTCTTTGAAGTATAAGTACAGAAATTATAGGTATATCAATACATATTAAATTCCACGAACTGGTTAACATTATTTTCTTATTTTAATAAAACATTTTCTTCTCTTCATCTTTACTCCAATTGCACAAGAAAAAATTGCACCAAAAAATTTTCAGAATTTTGTCCAATAGAAATCAGCTTGCGAATGATCACAACATATCAGAACTGGAATATCCCAAAGTTTTTACATAAATTAAGAAAATGCTTTATCATTGGCAATATATTCATATAAAAATATACTTAAATATAAATAATTTCCAGCAGTGCTACTAGTATTAGTAATTTTAACTTAAGGCAATTCGTAGCCAAAATATAAGTTCAAAATTAATAAGAAAAAGATCCAAAATATTTGTTAGCTATATCACTTCAACAATAAGATTAGCACAATGATATACAAGCAGAGCTGATAGTCCTATAAATAATATCATTATCATTAATATCAAATGATAAGAATACAACATGAATAATTAATATAAAATAAATACCACGAAAATGATTAATAAGAAAGAATAAAAGAGATAAAACAAACTGACCATTATTAACACTGAAACTTATTGGTAAATATATAATATCCATTTCTTGAAATATATTTATGTAAACTATTTATGATTACAAACTTTAACGAATCATTTGGAAAAAAAATAAAATATATAAATGTAAGATATAACATGTTATGCTCCATTTCTAGTATTATATAATACATGTACTAATTAAAATTAAAAATTGAAAAAAACACAATTTTTCGAAAACTTTACACACGAAAACTTCAGATGAATTATCAAAATTACTAATCACTTATTTTAATTTACTTCATATTTGACAAAAGAAACTTGGAATTCTACAAAGGACTGAAATTTTGCCAAATATTAGAAAAAAATATATAAGATAAAGATTTATTGTTTTAGAATGTTTTAGAACGAAAAAATATTATATATGTATGGATTTATCGCTTTGGAAATAAAAAAATGTATAAGTATAACATTAATATTTAATTTATATAATTTATTCATTCCATTCCAATACTTGAATAAACTTATTAAAAAATTAAAAATATAAAAAAAAAATGATAAATCAGCAATACATAAAATGAAATGCATAAAACTAAGGAATTAATGTTTACCAAAATTTTACAACAATAACAAAATGCTATACGTATGATAACGAAACTTTACTCTATCTAATCTCTTTAATTCCACGTGTGAAGTTTCACGTTTTAACGTGATACTGTGCACTGCGGACAAACACTTTTCGAAATAATGTATGATAAGAATAAGGATAAATTATATGAATACATAGATCTAAAATTTTAGTAGGAAAAAAACTCGAATTCTTAAGATTGAAACGTAGCGCACAAAGACATAACCATATACAATCATATGTAAATTTAAACATAATGCGTGTAGCATTTGAAAGGATACAGTCCATCACGTAACACACGTATCTACACGGATGCGTTGCACGCGAGCGAAGTGGTTGTGGATCGAATTGCGAAAAAAAGAAAGAAACGTGAAAGTGGAAGTGGTAGAAATGTGTGTGTAAGTTGAGGGAATTCTGAGGGAAAAAGGGATAGTACATAGGAAAATTAGAAGGGAAATAGCGAAGAAAAAAACTGAAATGAAAGAAACTTAAAATTAAATTCAATTTAAAAAAATTAATCATTTTAAATTTCGAAATTCTTCATTGGTCAAATATATTTGGATCAGTTTGGAACACTCATCAAAAATTAACAATTGGAAATCAAAGATCGAAAGGTCTCATTAAGCGAATGTTAATGGATTAGCTAGAACAAATGACCCATCGAAAATCGTAAATTGGAAATCAGAGATTGAAATGTTTCATTAACTAAATGTTATTCAGTTAGAATAAACAAATGACCCATCGAAAATCGTAAACTGAAAATTCAATGATCAAAATGAATCATTATTAAGATATTACTGGATCAACCGGAATGAATTACGTATCAGAAATCGAAAATTTCTTCTCACTAATGAAATATTATTGGTTAATTGGAATTAATGACATATCAAAAATTGAAAATTTGAACTTAGAAATTTGAATGTTTCATTAATAAAACTTTATTTTATTAAATTGAAAGAGTGTTAAAAGTTCGCCGAAAAAGATGAACAAATGAAAAAGTAGGAAAGAAATTTTTTTATTTTACTAAATAAAAGAGTAATTAATAATTCATTAAGAAGCTTTAGAAAATAATTGAAAAGAAGCTTAAAAGTAAGCAACTTTATGACATTATATATTTTGAAGTGGGAATTATTAGAGATGGATTTTGATGGGAGAAATGAGAAGGATGAAGTGATTTGCCATAGTCGGTTAATTCATAATGGTCACTCATTCCTCTCTCCTTCCTCTTCTGCATTCTGAAATTTGTATTGGTCATCTCTCTCCTTCCTCTTCTGCATTCTGAAATTTGTATTGGTCATCTCTTTTCCTTCCTCTTCTGCATTCTGAAATTTGTATTGGTCATCTCTTTTCCTTCCTCTTCTGCATTCTGAAATTTGTATTGGTCATCTCTTCTCCTTCCTCTTCTGCATTCTGAAATTTGTATTGGTCATCTCTTCTCCTTCCTCTTCTGCATTCTGAAATTTGTATTGGTCATCTCTTCTCCTTCCTCTTCTGCATTCTGAAATTTGTATTGGTCATCTCTTCTCCTTCCTCTTCTGCATTCTGAAATTGGTCATCTTTCATCTCAAATATTCTATCTTCCGCTATTTTATCCCTTTTGATTTCATCAGTTCAATTCCTACATTCTCATCATTATGTTATATCTAATGAATACAAATTACTAATGTATCACCAAAAAACTTTCTGATGAAAATTTTTTGGTGATTTGAAAATGTTCCGGAATAAGCGAATGAAATTACTGGAAGTGAAAAAAAGGGAAGGAAAAGATGAAGACAGAGAGATGAAATTATACTTATTTATTTGTTTAATTGAATTTGAAAATTGAGAATCATAAAATGAAAATATTTGGTTAATATAATTTTATTGTATTAAAATAAAACAAACGATCAAGACAGTCTAAATATGCATAATAATTCAATAAAATAGGAAACTGAAAATTTTTTTTCACTTAAGTTTTTCTGATAGAAATTTAGGGATTCTGAAGGATACAAAACTAAATTCTTTTCATGATAAAATCATATAGGAAAATGATAAAGGGAAAGAGAAATATTATTGTGTGAAAGTTTTTATTTCATATTTTTATTAGATGGAATTTATTAAATCGATCAAATTTTTATTGAAAGAAAGCGATTAAGTTTTTTATTGAATGGAAACATTAATGAATTTTTTATATGAATGAATAAATTAACTAACATATATTAAACGTTGATCTATTTGTGCAATTTATTGTCTTATTTTTTCTCTTTATGATAATTTGAACTATAAATTAAGAAATATCAGTAATAATTAACAAAAACGCACTTACTGATAGTTACTAAATACAAATAATTATTACTTTAGATAATTCATTATAAAGAAAGTAAACACATTATGCAATCAGTTTGATTCGACGAATTCATCCAGCAAATTGTTGCTATTGCTTATCGATTTTTTCGATTTATGGTAATTTATGCTTTCTTCATCATTAACTATCATCAACACAGCACTTTTATACTTTTCCCTTCATTTACTTCCCACTAACTTACCTACCCGACCAACTGACTAGCATCTTTACCCGCCAATCCGTCTGTCACACTATCCTTCTGCGGGTAACACAGCACAAACAAACAAATATTATTCATATCAATTGGAGCACAAATTCGCTCACTAACTAACGAACATTAATAAATTATTGAAATATAACAACAAATATAACAATTGAAATATAATACAACAATAACTTATGACATAAGTATATACTTTACGAAATGTATAAGTAATTAGGAATTATTTATGGAAAATAATTGCATCGTAAAATTGATTAACTTTTTAAAAACGAAACAAGAACGTGGAAAAGTACGTAAGAAATGAAATGAAAGAGTTATTTGTATTTTTCTTTTTGGGAAGGACAAATTTAATAATATCAAAATTATGCAAATTTGTTATTGCTATTATCATTA